CCCCCCTGTGCTGGTTTTTTTTTACTTTGAATAAATACATTACTTTATAAGGAACTTTTATCGGAAATCAAAAATATAATTTTTTAAATTAACTTTGCGCACTGTTTTCAAATTTGAAAATTTTTTTAAGCTTTGATATTAATTCTTATTATTAAAAAATGAGTATTTACATAAAAAAAAACAATTCAAAACATAAAAAAATTGTATTAAATTATTACTAATATTATTTTTTAATATGTTAAAAATAATCATTGCAAAATATCAATTTTAACTTACTTTTTTACATTGTTTTTGATCTTTTAAAATTGATTTTTGTGAATGTTTATAATAAAATAAGTTGAATTTGTTTCCATGACTTTTAGCTTCACTTGCAAGTTTATAACATAAAATAGAAAATCTTATGAGACTTAAAAGAATAGTATTATTAAGAATATTATTCATCAGGAAATTCTATAATTACTATTTATAGTAAAATTATTAGAAAAGCTCTTTTTAAATATTTTATTGCATTTTTATCGTAATAAATCGTAAATAATTTTTTTCCATATTAGATTTATATTACATTACAAGTATATTACATAAGCTTTTATCGAGCATACAAGCTACCAAATGTGTTTGAACTACCATTAATATAATACTAGATCAAAATGTGATAAATCTCTACAATAAATATATTATAGTTTTTCAATGTATGAAATTTGCTAAAAAATAATAATCCAATCGAAAAATCATATTGATTTTTAAATGTTATGTGTAGTAACAAAACCAGAGCCGGATTAAGTGTCAAAGCCGTCCTGGAGCAATGTATATATCCTCAATAGGGGAGGGGGGTTACAACACCCAAAACCTCTCCTGGCTATGCCACTGTTGATAGATACTTATTATCAAGAAGTAGTTAATAAATTATATATTTCATGTAATATTATTACGCAAATAACTACTACAAGTTTAAAACGTCAATTTATTGTAATCATTCATATCATACATATACTCACTGATTATAAAGTAAATTAAAGTAAATACAATATAATATAAAGAAGAAACCCTAATAAAAATTGTCTAACAAATATATTTTCTTCTCGATTTGACTGTAGGAAATTTATTCACAAGTTCCTCCCACTTAATTTCTCTAACTATTTCAGAATCTATACATAGTATTGACAAATCCGACATTTTCTCTTGGCTTAGAGATGATCTCAACAAATTTTTTATCCTTTTCAAAACTGAAAATGATCGTTCCCCGCTGGCATTTGAAGATGGTAAAATACAAATGATTCTTAAAATAATTTCTATGTTGGGAAATGATGTTTCTAATGATGATGATATTAAAGTTTTATGCAATGCAATTAATGATTTTTTATTTTCAGCTGAAATATTTGCCATTATACTTTTAAATTGTATCAATTCTTCTCCTAAGTCACTTTCTAAATCTATATTATAAAGTTTAACTAGGTTGTTACTTTTTTTTCGAATGTTATCTGATGATTCATTATCAATATTTAATAAAAATCCAAATTTATCATATAATTCAGTGTAAATTTCCATTCTTCTATTTAATTCAAAAATTTATTTGTCAATAATCACTAAAAATGTTTCATTTTTCATTTTTTCACTTCCTGTAAAAATAACGTTCAAAGTGTTCTTATCATCATCTAATAATACTGGTCTAATTTTTTTCCTCGACGATTCCCAAACAAATGTTTCACAACCACTTCGAAAATTTGCTTCTTCTAAAAATGTGTCGAAAGAATTTCGAATTTCTTGAATATCCTTCAATGAAGTATATAATGAAATTACGTTACATAAACTGAAGTGCTTTTGAAGTAGCTTCAAAACGTTTTAAAATTGGATACCACATACATAACATAAATGAAAATTCCAAAGTACAAATTTTTTTTATAAATAGATTTTGCTTCGTGACATACTGCTGGTCGTTGATTTTTATCTGAGTATATTACTTCTAGAACATTTAAGATTTCTTTGTACCCGATATTTAAGGATTTGCAAACATCATACCTCGATGACCACCTAATTTTACATAAATTTTTGATACTTAATGAACCTTCAATTTTATTTAGGTGTCTTTCTAAAAGTTCCCAATGACTTGTTGAGCCAGAAAAAAAATTATAAACCATCTGTATATTGAAAAAAAATCTAGTCCCTTCACTGGTAGCTTCAGCAGCGTTTGACACTACCAAATTCAAAGAGTGCGCAGCACACGGTGCAAACAACGCTTGTTCAGATATTCGTTTAATACGAGCCTGTAATCCATTATAAATGCCTGACATATTTGTCGCGTTATCATATGATTGTCCCCTACAATTTTTAAAATTGATATTTAAATCTGTAAAACGTTGAAGTAAAGCAGTTTCCATGTCCTCACTTTTGTGACCGACTGATTTAAGGAATCCTACAAATCTTTTGTACGTCGGTAGTTCCCCAACGTAGACACAAAAGTTTAACACAAATTAATTAATGTTTATATATATATATATTGACGACGAGTTCGTCGTTCGAGCTCTTCTCGAGTCCTCCCGTTGGATAAACTGATCAGCCCCAATCCCTCTAATTAGTGGACTACTAAAGGGGTAGAGTTTAGACCCGTCAGCACAGTCTAGTAAAAAAGTAGCAGACTGAAGGGTGGCTCCTTGTCAGCCACCAGCACAACTATTTTTTTACTATACCCACTAAAGGACGGTTAAGCCTAAAAACTAGCCAGCTCGTACACTAATTATTAAGATTGATTAAAGGACCAGCAGTCCAATTTTGACTCTAGCTGCACACACACACACAATTCTATGAACATGGTGAATATAAAATATTTGCTCTAAGTCCAAGTTTTAAAATAGCTATTTTATTTAAGAAACGTATCAAATACAAAGTCAAAAAGTAATATCAAAAATGTAACACAAAACAAAATTAAATCGTACAAAGACACTCGCGTACCCGTAACTCGACGTTTCTTCGACAAAAACGTCCAGTCTCGTCTCGCCCAGTATCGTCCCCCATCCTTTTCATGTTTCCCTTTTATATTCTTTTTCCCACCATTATTAATTTGCTTACCCTGCATTTCCCTTCTATATGACACCACTGTATTGCTTGAGAATTTAAAAATTACTTACTATTGCCTTAAACCCCGTATTATACTAAAATCGACGTTATTCAGCTATTTACTACACTTTCAACAACAGAACTATTATCTGTCATATACCTTATAATAATGGTCAATTGATCTACTTTAGTATTATCAGGAGTCGAATCAACAATGATTGAAAAGTATTTTAATTTTTTGATTTGAATTACAATGTTATCAATAACTGTTTTGCTCATTAATGATATAAATTCATCGCATATTGTAGATGACAAGTAAGACACATTGCCACGGCCTTTATTTCCATGATTTGATATATGATTTGCAAGGAATGGATCGAATTTAGAAATGAGCATCCTAGATAATTTCCATTATGTTTTAAACCAAAATTTGCATCTTCTCCACGAAAAGCAAGCCCTCTTTCTGATAAAAATTTTATTGTACACACTACGCGATGTAATAAATTTTTCCAATAATTAATTTCGTTATTTACCTGTTCTTGCAAAGCATTATCTATAACCTCAGTATTTTTAGTGGTTCTTAAAAACCATTTACGGATACATGTATTATGAGATACACTTTTTTCATGTTCTGCAACTAAATGGTAACACTTTTGCTAATTAGTAAATCCTACAGATGGATCACTAAATACCTGTTTTTTAGTTGCAAAAATAAGGCATTGAAAACAAAACAAAGCATTCTTAGATTTTGAATAAAGAAGCCATGATCTATTTTTAATTTCACCATTAAGAAGACGTCTTTCAAATATATTACATGGAAGTTTTCTTAATTGTTTACCGTACAATCGTTTAATATTTTTAAAATCGATATAGTCCCTATTTTCAAATGGTGGATTTTTTAACAAATAATTTATTATTTCAGGAGAAACGAGGTTCCATTCAGCTGGATCTGAACTTAGTATAGTGACTGAGCTCTTTAATGAATTATCATTGCTATTGTCATTTAAACAATTTTTTTCGTCAATATTTTCAAGTATAAACTTTGTTTCACCACGTTTTTGTAAGATACAATCATCAACAGATTCTTCATCTTTAGATATTGTTAAAGTATTTACATTTTCAATATTAAATGGAGAATCCTACAAAAAAAAAAAGAGATAAAAATCGAAATCTAAGCTGTAATTTTGAATTTAAATGGGTATAAAGAATAATATTTTAAGTTTATTTAAAGCTTGGATTATTTTCGGAAATTTTTCAAAAAATAAGTTGAAAATTTTCATTATTTTAAACGAAATTTTTATTATACCCTTCATTGTATAAGGAAAAATTATCCACTTTAAAAAAAAATAGATATGTTTATGAAGAAGTTATAACATAAAAATTAAAAGATCCACGCATTATTTAAATAATTACAGCGATTTAAATTGAAAATATAAAATAAATTATCAAACATTTTAACGCAAAAATAACATGTTTTTGAGCTACTGCAGTCGTTTGTACTTAAAAGAAAAGGTGTCGGGTAAAATTTTTGTTTTAGATCTTCTAGTACACAACATAAGCTTTAATTTAAAATATGTTTTAAGGTTGGAGTATTTTAGGAAACATTTCAATGTTTATTTGAAGAAATCAACTTTTTATGCAAAAGTAGCTGTTTTTATTCCCCCTTGTTGGCAGGGAAAATGCCAGATTTAAAAAATATAAAAAACAAAAATAAAATATCTAACGTTATTACACTGAAAAAAATTATTTTGATTTCTTAAATTTCGAAAATGTATGGATATTTTTATCAAAAAATTATGAAAAAATTCTAATTTTTGGCATGATTCAATAACATTTAAATTTTTTTCGATTGCCTTTTTACGGTACTCACAACCACTTAACTTAATTTTTTTTGCACTCATTTTTTAACACTTTTTGTTAACTCTGACACTGATAATTGAGAAGTGAGTGCTGGACTTATTTGTTATTTTATCCAAATATTCAGATATTCATTTTATTATTGATATTATTCTTATAATAATCTATTTATATATATATATATATATAAAATAGCCGTTATCAATGAAGTGATATCGAAAAATGAAAATGTTATTTTTAGTCTATAACTTTCAATGAATAAACTAAAGCTATAAATTATTGTTCAGTACTTGAATAAACTAAACCTCTTATACATTTGATCACGAGTTATTATAATTATGAAAATACTTCACAAATTAGATGTATCTAAACATTGAATTCAACATTCAATCAAGTTATGATTTATTGGTCCAAAATAATTCAAGTGGCCCAAATTTGTACCGGTCTTGGCGGGGTTTGTCCCATCATCGCTTAGCCAATCCGCCCCTGGCACAATTTTAATACCACGTGATATATTATTATATTTTAATGCCATAAAGTATAAAATTTTTTCAATAATAAGAGCAGTGGAAGTCTGCTTTAAGATATTCCACGTTTTTAATTTAGAATACCCACTTCTATTAGCGCTGTCTTGATATTTATTCAACAATATAACTACAAATTATTTTTAAAGAACGACTACTCCCATCAAACGGTTAAACAAGTGTTACATGATCTTAACAAAAAAGTAAAATAATATTATATTCAATATTCAAAAATTTTTTTTATTTTTTTTTTACTATATTTTTCTTTTCTTTCTTCTTATTAATTATTTGTAAATTATTAATTTTTGAAAATTTTCTTTTCATCCAATGTATAAATAAATTGTAAGTTTTCTTAAAATTCATAAAAAATAAAAGGTGGAAATACGCCGTTTCAGTTTATTTTCTATATTTCTCATTCAATACACATGTGTACAGGTTTTATTTATAATTTACTATTGAAAAATTAAAAGTTGTTCAACAAATTATTTATAATATTATAATTATTACACAGTATATATTAAATATCGTGTTTATTTAAGTAAATTATAACCATAATTAAGATTAAATTTATAATTTAATATGGGATTTTATTTGTACATTAGTATGTTAATATAATAAAAATTCATAATCATATTCAAAAAAATGTACTTAATTCTTTAAAAATTAATTAATCACCATGAAAAATTATTTATCAAAGTGTTATAGGTATAGAATAATAATTCGTCATAAGTACGATGAATTTATCAATATGACAAAGTTATAATTATTGTATTGATAGAGTATTTTATTATTTTAATAATAGTTTTAGTTATTATTGAGGTGGACATGATGCCCATGCACTCATAGCTGTTGGTCCATTGTGCGCACCTCATACCGAATTGTCTTGATTCGGTTTACCCATCGAAGTGTTATTACATTATACCAACCATAAAGTCACTCTTTTAGATGACCAAAGAGTCCTGTCTTTCCGGCGAAATTAAGTATCTCTCTGGGTTTAGGTTTTTAATATCTTCTTTTTCAGGAAATGGTTTACTCAAGTAGTTTGATCTTAGTGTGGACAAGGCTTCACATTCGCACATAATGTGAAATGAGTCTTCCTCTTCTACTGCACACTTCCTGCAAAATGGTGATTCCGATACCCCCATTGCGTTGGGTGACGCAGGTGACCATGTCTAGTCAATGTGTTTATTTGATGTCTAGTCTAGTCATGCTATTAAGATCACTCAACTGTAGACCAGGGGTCTTGATAAACATTTTAGATTATCTATACCTAGACAAAGTACCTTACCAAGTACTTCCAGATTTTCCTGTGTTGTTCTCTGCACCAATTCTTGGGTAGCACTTTGAACGATTGCTCAGTGAGTCCTATTTTAATAATATCATCATTGTTATAATGATGAATAAACCATAATTTTTCTCTATCGTATTGATAAATGTATCATAGGTTCAATAGTAATGATATATTTAACAAATTGAACAATGAATTTATTATATTGATCGAGGTTTTTCTCTGGGTGTATTATCATGTAAATCATGTAATTTATTAGGTTATTCATCAATTTTTGGTAAATAAATATTTTGTTTTTTAACTTGTTTCAAAAACGCATCAAAGTGTTTTACGGCAGTGATTTTTTTAATCTCAGTCATATATAAATCAATACTTATCTAAAAATTAATTGAACTTGCTACGCTGGATCCCAACTGTGCATTTTTAAAATATATTTTTCATGATTTTATTTTATTTTATTTAAATATATATTAGCTCTTATAAATATATTGTAATTTTTCAATATATGAGGTTTGGTATGAAAAATAAATAAAGGTTTGAAGTCTATATTGTTTCTACATTTCAATAATAATAATTATTAAATTAATGTAAGTTTTTGGTATTTTATATTTTTCAGGTAATATTCTGACAAGTTTTTCTCAATGCTTATCAAGTGATGTAATAAAGATTGGCTTCATAATGTCTATTGCTGTGAGCTTCCCTCTTGTAATTTTCCCATGCAGATCCTCAATATATTCGTTACTTTCTTCCAAGGTATTTTAATAAATTAATAAAAAAAAAAAATTACATTTAATTAAAAATCATTTCTTTTTCGAGTTCAAGTGACGCATATTTTTATTTTTCAACAAATTAGTTTATTTATACATTGCTTGTTCAATATAATATAAAAGTCTTCCGAAAAGTTTGAAAGTGAAATTTAACTTTTAGTCTAAGTTGACATTTATTTTTCTTTATTCTATGCTAAAAAATAAGTGAGATAAACACTGCTTATAAAGAAAAAAAACAGTATTTTTTTTTTAAACTACTTAACCAGGTAACATAAATGTTGTCTAGTGAAAATATTACATTGTTAATCATTAGTATTTTTAAAGACTGTTTAACATACAATTGTCAAGTGAAAAATAAAAATAATTTAAAGAAATTTATTATATATCAAGAATTAAAAAAAAAAAAAAAACTATACATCAAGTTTAAAGTTATTTTATGAAATATTTAAAATTCATAAACATAGTAAACTAAGCTGTTAGGTGTTATTCTACGTATTTTTGAATATAAAATTGCTTAAAATTTTTTCCTATCTAAGAAAATTTCTTAAAATGTTTTACTATCATTTATCATATTACTTTTTCTGCGGATGCTGTTGTTTATTACTTTCCATGACTCTTCAATCTGTTCATTATCACTTCCCCCTCTCTTATTCCTATGAAATTTGTCACTGTTTCTTGGAATGTCCGTAACATTTCTTCATTTATTAATTTATCCACGTTATATTTTCTGAGTGTTTTTTGTTTCTTTTTCCATTCCATGAACACCTTTACTCTAAAGTCAATCAGGATCAAGTGATCACAGGTCTGTGTCAGCGTCTATTCCTTTGTAATTTTTGATGTTTTTTAAAATAGTCTTATATTTTCTATGAGAACATGATCAATTTGGCTACTGGAGATAACCACGTTTCTTTATGAATATTTTTCTTCGGGGATATTATATTTCTTATTAACATATTTTTACTCATTGTAAAATTAATTAGTTAAAGGTAAAATGTTAGGGGTTGCAAAAATTTTTAATTAATTTGAATAGTTTAAAAATAAAAATATTATATATTTAAATTTAAAAACATTAAGAATATTAAACACAAAAAGCTTATTAGTAATTTTTTGAGGCCATTTGAGTTTAATATTATTAATATTTTTTATAAAGTTAAACTTTTAAATGCACACATTTTAGTTGCACAGAGAATTATTAATAATAATAAATTCCAATCTGTAAAATGTAAAAAAAAAATTGCTGAAAAAAATTATATCTTAACACACAAATAAGTAGACATTTTTGAAAGTACTGCCATGAATTTGTAAAACAAAATTTTTTCGCTGACTACCTAGTATCATTTGATATTTTTTAGATGTAGCAAAAATATTATGACCCTTAGATTATGTCAGGGATTATAAACGCAATTTTGTAATTACATCACTAGTGACAAAATAGGATGATTAATTCAAAATTGAATTTCTGTATAAACTATTTTAGCTTCGATGCGTATTGAAAAGCATTGTTTTTTTTTCATGTTTTTTAATTTGTGACACTAAATATAATTAACATTTTTACAGGACCTTTTTTACTCAATGATACGTCAAAAGATCACAAAACGTAGCTAATTAAAATTATCAGTGTCATAATTTTTAAGAATTCCCCTCAATCCCTGTAACCAAAGGAAAGCTGACCAGAAATTGCAGTTTTAATAAAATGGTTAATCTTGATATTTTTAGTTTTGACTTTCTATTGAAGTAACTTTTTTAAAACTGAACAGATTTTTGCGAAATTTATAATGATAACTATTCAAGTATGTTCCTTATCAAAAACAAATTTTTTTTTAAATACTATCATAAACCAAAGTTCATTAAGAATAACCTAGAGATTAAGATAAAGTAGGAGTAAGAAAGAGTATATAGAGTTTGACAAAGAGAACACGAGGTAGGTGAAATGAAGAAATCAGTGAAAATAAACAAGAACGTGATTAAAGGTGGAAAGTTTTAAGTATTTAGGATCAGTTGTGAAAAAGAACAGTGATATTAACGAGGATGTAAGACAGTGAAATAAGTGCAGGTAGGTGAAGAGGAGATGCGTCTGATATGTTATGCGATAAGCGAATTCCAATGAGACTGAAAAGTAAGTTCTATAGGACTGTAGTGAGACCAGCTATGATTTATGGTTCAGTGTCGGGTGTTTGTCTAGAAATGAGAGTAGAGTTGGGAATGCTTAGATGGATGAGTGGAGCGACTAGAGAAGATAGAATAAGGAACAAATATATATAGAGTATACATTTAGCGTCAATCGTAGATAAAATGAAAGAAAATAGATTTAGATTTAGATGTTTTTGTCATCATGAGGAGAGAGGAATCGGAAGCTGTAAGAATAGTTATGAAAATGAATGTTGAAGGAAGAAGAGGTAGAGGAAGACCAAAAAAGAAATGGAGAGATGTTATTGAATGCGATATGGTGACGACTGATGTGAACATAGATGATATAGGAAATCGTGTCAAGTGGAAGTTTAGGATAAGGGTGGCCGACCCCAAGTAGTTGGGATTAAGGCAACGAAAAAGAAGAAGATTATCATTAGCCAAGGCACTTTGGGCTTACAAATCATATCAAACTTATTTTCTTTTCAATTTTTTATAATATTTCAAAAATCTACATTAAATTAAGTTTAAACAATGTAGTTTAAAATGAAAAAGGAAAAATTATAGGAATCTCGATTAAAGTCAAAACTAATATTATATTAAAAATATTATTAATTTAAAACTAAAAAATATTTAACTCAAGAAACCACAAAAAAATCGCGGATACGTACTTAAGGAACAATGTTACAATTATCAACGCTAAACATAAACTGACACTTTGACTGGAAAAAAACCCTTTTTATATACCCATAGTAACCTTATCACCTAGTGAAATTATCGTTATAATTAATATGACATTTTGGCAGTTTATACAAGTTAAATAATGAATTTTTAAGTGGGCCAAGATCCCATTTAATAAAAATTGTTTTTATTTTTAAGCATTTCTATTGTCTTCGTTATATTAAGTTCTTTGTAATTATTCACATTTTTAATTAGTTTTATGGTTTTAATGGAGTGATTATGTATCAATAAATGTTCATCCACCAAATATTTATTAATATTCTTTATTTTTAATGTTTCTTAATAAACTTTCGAATACATATTTATTTAAATTATTTTACACCATATAGGAATATGTACTCGTATCTGGTGGACGACAACATATTGCAGAAACACCATTCAAGTGCATCACATTTTTTATTGTTACATTTTCTCTAGTGACTGGTCTACTGATGCCTAATATTGAAGTAGTATTAGGATTAATTGGTTCTACGATTGGAGTAATTATAAACGTTATGTTTCCATCAATGTTTTTAGTACGAGTGGCTAATAAAAATCCTAAAGAAAAATTTTGGGCAAAAGTGAGTATAATTGCTGTTGATAAAATTTTATAATATCATTATATTTCATTTATGAGTGCCATTAAATGAAAGTACAAATAATAATCTAATTACACTTAAATAATTGGTTTATAGTTTATCATATTAGTTGGTGTTTTCATTATGGTAATGGGTACAATGGCTAATCTTTTTGCTATTCAACAATCGTTAGAGTTGTCAAAAACAATAGAACAAGAAGTTATCAGCACAAAACATATTGTCTCGGCTAATAATGTACACAATGAGCATTTACAAAAAAAAATTGAAGAAAAGCGTTAGTGCTACAAAATTAAATATGAATAATTTTTTATGGTTTATACTCGAGAATAATTTTTATTTTTCTTTATAGCATTAAAAAAAAACAAAGTGAAAGCTAAAAAAGAGTCTAAAGAAATTCCAAATATTAAAATTGAAGCAAAACCTTCGGAAGAAATTCGTGTAGAACCTCCTATTCCCGTCGAGCCCGTAGATGCTGTAAAACCGATCGTAAAAACTATTAACAGTAAAATTGAAACAGCAAACTCGATAAGTAAAGATGCTATTAAAAAAGAAGAAGAAGAGTTGGAAAAACGACCTGAAATAGATATACTTGAAAAATTAAAAAGTCACGAAAATGAAGGGAAAAAAATATTAGCGGAATCAAAACAAATTTTAAACGAATTAAAAGAAACTCGTTTAAAACTTGAAAAAAATAACGATGAACTGAAATTAATAAATAAATTAAATACGACAGAATTAAAACTAAAAAACATGAATATTATGCTTCAAAATGAAAACGATAAAAAAATTAAATTAGAGGAGGTAATTAAAGATAAGATTCCAATTCCTTTAGCACTACATGAAAATAACTCTACTAAGAGTAAAAATACTAATACAGAATTAATCAGAGAAAAACGATATACTAAAGTGATAAAAAAATCATTAAACGATGAAGTCGAAAATTGCAAAAAAGAAGAGAAAGCTCAAGAAAAAAAACTTAAATCTCAAGAACAAAATAATAATATTGAAGAAATAAATGTTCAAGAAATCAAATTCGAAAATTAATTTTTAATCATCCATAATTTGTATTTAACTGATCTCTAAATCATTCCGTATTTTTTAACATTCATATATATAGTTGCAATATTATAATTTAATTACAAATATTTTTGTAATGTAATTTAATTATAAAGTATTTATTGTTTAACATATTATTTATAATTAATTGTATTATCGAGGTAATATAAAATGTTCCTATACAGTTTGATTAATCATTAACTTAATAACAAATTATTATATTTTTTAATTGTAAATACTTTACGATTGTGACTAAAATTTATTAATGAATGATATTAAATAAAATCACGTTGTTAACTTGATAATCCTAGAATCAATTTTAAGATGTAATGAGGTTTTAAAAAAGAAGGGTGTTAATGATAGTGTTTAGAAACTTTTATGTTTTAAAGAAATCATCAAAACTGCAAGTTTCAAATTATAAAGTATGATTTCTCGTTTCAAATTCAATTTTAAAATTATTTTATTATAATTTTTTTTTATTAAAAAAAAATATTTATAATTCTAGGGTCATTAGCTATATTTTTTACAGTATAATTACATAATTATAAATACAATTTTTCTTCTCTTTTTTTAAACATATTTACAAGAGATTACATTATTTATAAACTATAATATATAATCTATTATAATAAACTATTTGTATTTATATTTTATTTTACAATCCGGTTTTTCTATCAATATTATTGTTTTTGTAAGCCAATAAATGATTATAAATTATTCAATATATAAATAAAATTTTCTATAATTATTATTTTCTCAAAATGTTTATAAAATTGTTAAACTCTTGGTTAACTAAATTAATATTACACAATATACACTTAATAAGAATTAATAAAAATAAAATTATTTTTTGTAAATTTTCAACAATTCTTATTGTATTTACATGTATACATATAGGCTATATTTTTTTTAAAAGAGAGGGGAAAATAGTTAGTTCTAAAATAGAAGCTGACATAAATATATAACGTTGTCGAACATATTATAATGAACAGCGTTGAATCATTTCTTTTGAAACGCTCAGTATTTAGTCTTTTGTTTAAATAAACGGTTGTTATATTAAAATGTAATAATGAGTTATGTCTCAAAATCAATTATTGTTTGAGCGAAAGTCAGGTGGTGTGTCAAGAAAATTAAAACATGCTGGAAATGTATCAAAAATTCGAGAATTTGAGTTAGAAAAAGTAAGAACTTATTTACTTAATATTAAATATTTTTAAACTATGATAAATTTAACTTATACTTTACATTACTAGAATACTACTATTCTCTAACAATTCTAAAAACTTTGTATGAATTATTTTATTTAAGTATAATTTTTTTTTAAATAATCACTTAAAGTGGCATAAAAAAGCAACTGATTGGAGGGGATTACCTAGTCGACATAGCTAAATGACATTTTAAAAAGTGATGCATCTTTTATAGTAACCAAAAATGTTGACTAATTTTTTATTTTAGCTTCGATGCGAAGCTGAGAAGGTATTAATTTTACCATGATGTGTTTATTTTTTTTTTTTTTTTTTTTTTTTT